TTTTTACCCGTCGCCAACAGCTCGTCCGCTATCGTGATTTCGCTATCTTCTTTAATCGAAGTTGCCGGAAGCTCCTGGGCCGAATGCGCCTCGCCCCAGGCGTCCGCCACCGCGCCCCGAGGCGCGGGGCGGGCGTTCTAGCGGCCCATAGTAGCACTCGATTGGGGCATTATCATCCCATGCTAGATCTCGATTTGAGCTCTAACACCCCATGTTAGATCTCTGTGTGAGCTCTAACGTCCCGCGTTCGATCTCGATGTGAACTCCAACGCCCCATGCTAGATCTCGATGTGAATTCGCACAATCAATTTTAGAACCCATATTGAGATCCCACAGCCAATGCGAACTCGGTTTGGGCTCTCACAGCTCACGGCAGAAGCCGGGCCAGGGCGAGGGGGAAGGGCGGGCCCAGCCAACAACAACGACGCCCGTGACGCACCGCCCAGGCGGGGTGGCGGGCGGGCCGAATGCCAATGGCATAAAACGCCAGCCGAGGGGGCGTTGTTGTCGCAGCCAGGGGCGCGCCGAGGCCCGCTCCGTCGCTGCGCCGCGCCCGCGTCTCATCTCGCACGTGCCCGCGCAAGTCCGCGCCCAGTTCCCCGCCTGCCCTCCGACGCGCGCGACGGACGCAGTCCTCCAGCATGGAAGCCTTGCCGTCGCAATCCATGACCCGCGGGAACTCCCGCGCCCCGATCGCCCGCCCCACGATCCAGGGCCCTTTGGGGCCCAACTGTTCCTGCCGCCCTGCCTCGACACCGCGGCTTGGACTACGTTCCAGAACGTTCGAGCCAGACTGCCGCGCGGTGCCGATTTCAACTCGGCACGCGCGGTCGAGGCCGTCCGCAACCAAACGAAGAACAACGCCCTCTGTGAGGGCCCGCCGCGTCACGAGCTTCTCGAAAGCAGCCATTGCGGTCGCCAGCCTTCGGCGCTGCTTGGACGGCCCCAAAGCTTAGCGGCCGCCCCCGGAGAGCGCGCCGCGCCGCGCATCGACAATGGCGAAGGAACTGGACGTCTCCAAGCACGGGCGGCGGCCGCTGCGCTGCAACCAGGGTGCTGGTCGGCGGTGCGGGCGACGACGGGCGCGGGCGCCGCGGCTGCTGCAGCTGTTGCTACTGTTGCGGCCGTCGTGGGGGCGACTGAAATGGGGATGCCCTGATGCGAGGCTTCCGCTCGAACCAGCTGTTTCCACGCCGCGTCTGCTGCCTGGTGCTCCTTGCCCTCTGCGTGGCGCGTGTAGTTTGCGCGGCGGCCGATCATCCCAATGCCTTGGCCACTGGTGGATTGGCAGCGAGGGCCTTTGAACGCCGAGCAAAACCAGCGCATTGCAAATCTACCAGCTGCGCAGCCTGTCCAAGTCTCAGTTTTCTGGGTTACTTGACTCGTCGCAGGCAGAGAGGCGCTCCACTTCTCTATCTGTTGCCAAAATTTGCGAGCGCCGCGCGTCCCGACGTGCGTTGGGTAGCTGTGGCTGGCGACGTGCTCCTCCAGGGTCATGGGGCCGGTGTCGAACGTCTCGGCTACTTTGCTCGGCGCGGCCTTCGCCTCCGCCTTCGCCTTCGCTGTTGGAGCCGCCGCTGCCTCGCTGTTGGAGCGGGGGCGCTCTTCGGAACCGCTGTTGGAGCCGCTCTTGGAGCCGGCCTCGGCAACTCCGTCGGCGTCGGCGACTCCGTCGGCGCCTGCAACTCCGTCGGCGTCGTCGGCGTCAGACACTGCGTCGGCGTCGGCGCCCGAGCTGCAGCCGCAGCTCGACGAGGCCGCTCTCGACGAGGTCGCAGTGCTCGAGGGGGCCGCTCTCGACGAGGCCGCTCTCGACGAGGTCGCAGTGCTCGAGGGGGCTGCTTTCAACGAGGCCGCCCTCGCCGAGGCCGCAGGGCTCGAGGGGGCCGCGTGGCCCGAGGAGGCCGCAGGGCTCGAGGAGGCCGCCCTCGCCGAGGCCGCAGGGCTCGAGGGGGCCGCGCGGCTCGAGGGGCTCGCCTTGACCCAAATGCTGCGGATGTTGATGGTGATAATCATAATGTCGATTGTGGTCCGTAGGAATTGCATCATCACTACGATCGTCACCACCATCATCACTATCACCATCACCATCACTCGTCACTGCGATCGTCACCATCACCACCCTTACAATCGTCACAATCACCACCACCATGACCGTCACCAGAGGGGGGGGGACTCAACTACCCCAACTAAAACCCGCCCTAGCCCACGCCAGGGATATACTCGGAATGATACTGCGAATAGTAATGATAATAAGACTTAAAAAAACCAAGGAGAAGACCAACTGGCAACACAAGCGTAGCCTTATTGTTGTTTGTGTTGTTGGTGCTGTTGTGATGTTTAATGTTAGTGCTAGTGTTGTTGTTGGTGCTGTTGCTGTTGATGTTGTTGTCGCTGCTGGTGTTGTTGTAGTTGTAGTTGTAATTGTAGTCGTAATTGTTGTAGTTATTGTCGTTGTTTGTGTTGTTGATGCCGTCGTTGTTGTTGCTCGTGTTCTGGTTGTCATTATCATTGTATTTGCTGTGTTGCTGCTGCGGTTGTTGTTGCTGCTGCTGTTGCCGTTGCCGTTGTTGTTGTTGTTCGCCACGCCTCGGGACTGTGCAAGAACGTCTCAGGATGAGAAGGCGGTAGCGGAGAATGGGTTGAGATATTGGGGGCCCCACGTGGTGAAATAACTCGTGACATTGGCAGAATCACAACATCAATGCACAGGCATATTGGCGGCGCGCACAAGGGGTCAGGGGGAGGGGGGGGCTTCCGAGAAGGAGGCTGCCTCCAACAAGACGTCCCTCCTTCACCTGCCCATCGACGACGACGAGAACGTCGACGTCGAAGACGACGAGGACGAGGAGGAGGATGATTAGGACAGCGACGACGACGACGACGACCACGATGACGACGACGACGACGACGACGAGGACGAGGACCAGGACGAGGACGGGGACGAGGACGAGGACGGCGACGACGACGACGGCCCGCGCGGAGCTCTTGGCTCTGCCCTGGCCCCCTCTCGCCATCGCTCGCACGTCCATTCCCCGTGAATTGTTTTGATCTCGTGCTCTTCTTTTGTTGGAAGAGTGATCAAGATGCTTCTCGATGGACCTCGCCGAGGACAAAATGCACACGCCCGAGCGATGCCAAGCCCTCTTTTGCCGGCGCGCACGATGGGTATGGGTGACGGGGGAAAGCTTCTTGGAAGGAGGCTGCTTCTTAGAGGGCGCCGGCCTTACATCTACAAACAAGGCCTGCACCTTCTAAGAAGCACGGTGCTTCTAAGAAACCTTCCGCCCTCCCCCTGCCCCCTTCTGCGCGTGGCGGCTCTCACCGCCACTGGCGCGCGCCGAGGCAGGGCGCAGGATGCGCCTCCCACGGGGGATGCCCGGCGCAGAGCCAAGACAGCCGCGCGGGCCTCCAAAGATATACAATCAAAACTGGCAGTCAGGATTCGGCGGCGAGCGAAGGTGAGAAGGCCTTCTCAGAAGGCGGCGGGGCTTCTCAGAAGCCCTCTGGCCTTCTGAAAGATTTTCTGTGTCTTCGGGGAAGGCTTCGTAAACTTTCGAGCGGTCATCGAAAGGAATCAAGGATGTAGTGAAGAGGCAAGGATGCAAGAGTACCCTCCTAGGAAAATTAACAATCCCTGTCATCGGTTTCGACTGTACGGGAAATATGGGTTCGATGTCCCACAGCAGAGCCGTCCAAGCGGCCGCTGTTGGGCAGGCGACTCGTTGCCTCTAGTGGGCAACGTCCGCGGCGACACCGACGAGTCTGGCTCAAAACTGATGGGAACTGCTGTCGGTCTTCGACCTGTCTTTCTGTACCTGCCTCGATCTTACCAGTTTGTTTGGAAGAACAAAGCATAAACATAAACTGTCCAAGGTCCGCGCGGATTTCTTGGATACGCGCTGAGACCCCCCCCGTGCCGACTCAAGGCATCCGCGGGCATGTCCGAAAATTGTATGTTGTTTTTTAGTTTTGCAATTTTTTGCCCGCTTATGCCTGTGGATCGTTTTCTGTCTCACTGGTCCCCAACTGGGGTGGCGTGATGGTGGGGCTGAGGTACCGTGGCCCGATAGGGGATTGGGACCCATACATCTGGCGCCCAAATTTTCTCCGATGCGTGGACCCCGGGGGACGGCCAATTTTTCATTCCGAGTCCTTGTTTGACTGCCCCATGGTCCCTTGAGGGCCTCCGGAAGCCGAAAACAGCAAAACACTGTCCGCTCCCGTTTTTGGGGGAGTCTCGGATCTCGAGGGGAAGGAGGAGGAGGAGGAGGAGGAGGAGGAGGAGGAGGAGGAGGAGGAGGAGGATGAGGAGGAGGAGGAGGGGGGAGGAGAAGGAGGAGGAGGTGGAGGAAGTTTGACGTTGCAAAACATGTGGATTGAAATCCGACCAACAAAGAATCAAATTATGGCCCGATGCGGATGGGGATCGGTTGAACGATACTAGTCGGGCTTCTACTGGCCCGGGTCAATGCAAATCCGGGTCAGCCAGGCTTTGCAAGCTCCTGCGAAATCATGCAGGATCCATCATGGTCCTCCCCCTGACACGGGTCAGTGCATCCTGGAAGATTCGGCGCTGTGGCTGACCCCCGTTTGCACCGACACCTGTCTCACGGCTCCCGATACGAACTTTCTTCGAGCGCCAGCGCAGGTGGCCACCACGAGCGTGGACCCCCGGAGGTCTGGACCACTTCCCTAGGGCCAACTCTTCGTCCTGATTTCTTTTTGACGTCCCGGGGCTCGCTGAAGGCCTCCAGGATCAAACAAAAAACCCTCCTGAATATGTTTTTTGAGCGGGCCCTTCCCTCCAGGATCCAACAGCAAAAACCTCTCCTCTGGAGATTTTTCTGTGAACGAGCCCCCCTTCCAGGATCCAGAAAACCCCTGCTGGAGGGTTTTAACGAACCCTTCCTCCAGGATCCACGAGGCCGAAAGCGGCCAAACACAGGCAGCTGGGGATGGGGGTCGGTGAAGCCATGCGAACTTTCTCCTTCGAGCGCCGGCGCAGGTGCCCACCACGAGGAGCGCCGCGCCCGTCCTCTGGGGCGCGCAGGGACATGCTACAATACTGCGTGCCCTCCTCGCAGCCGTGCGTCCGACCCGAACATGTGGTACACTTTTTTGCGCCAGCGGCGAGGCAGAAATGCTGCTCCAGCGGGTGGCGCTCCGGGGCGACCGGTACGCGCAGTTGCCGGCGTACAAGAGGAGGAAAGGGGGGGGGGACAGGGCGGCCGCGGAGGACAGGAGGAGGAGGAGGACACTCAGGCGCGGAAGCCTTCCATGCCGAATGGGCCGGTGCGGCCAGCAACGGCAGCGGGGCCGTGGCAGCAGCCGGGCAGCGGCTGAACATATAGCACACACATCTTATAGCACATCGTTTCCCGAGCGGTACAGCCAGAAAGCGCCCGCCACCGAGCATCTACCAGAAGATTTCTCGGCGTGCGCGTCTCCTGTTTTGGGGGCGACGCACACGTGAACGTTTTCTTTTTCGGCGTCTCGACATGAAGAGGAAAGGGAGGGGGGCAGGGGGGGTCTGGCTCTGGACCTCTGCTAAGCGCGACTGTCTGGAGCAGTGCTCCCATGGGGACTCCTATGGGGAGGCGGGGCCCCCGTGCTTACTCCACCCGCTTGAAACAAGCGACAAATGCAACCAAGACCTACTCCAGGAGGGTAGGCGTTAGAGGGCCCGCGCCGATCGGCAAAACAATGAATGAGAAAACGATCACCAAGTAATGTTTTTTTCAATTCGGCGTCCCTGGAACCTCCGACTCTTCCCCCAGGACAAGTTATTCATCCTGAGCCGTTTTTTGGCGGTCCCGAGGCCTGGCGAGGGCCCCCAGAGGCCCAAACTGGCCAAAACCTCCCGTCGTTTTTTTGTTACGACGCGATTCTGTATGGGATGCCTCGGCCCGACCGAATCCTGTGGACGACGGCGATCCTCGCCGACTGGAGCCAGCCCGCGCTGATCGGCAAAACAATGAATAATAAACGATCGCCACGTATTATTACCCTGAGATCACGGCGTCGGGGGTCTGGGGTGGTCTCGAGGGGTGGGGTCCTAGGGATATTAAGGGATCCAGGGGTGGATTTACATTGTCAGAGGCGCCTCGTCCTTAGGACCCCGTCCTTAGGACCCCATCTTTAGAGCCTGTTTTTCTTTAGATCCAGGCAAGCTTACTTGCATGGCGTTCGCCCCCCCCCCCCCCCCCTCTCCCCCCTCGCCCCTCTTCAATCGAACACGAGCGTGCAAGTGCCTTTCGACTTGCGTGATCTCCGCACGTCGAATTGTTTTCGGCTTGCTTCAGACTCAGCCCCCCCCCCCGTCCATGCAAGTAAACTTGCCCGAATCCAAAGAAAACAGGCACTTAAACCACCGAAGTTTTTCGGTCCGGCGCTGCGCCCCCCCCTGGCGGCGCCTCCGCGCGCCACGGATGGGGGGCCCAGCGCCGATTCCTGACATCCGCGCGGGCCTCGGAGAGAAACCGCGTCTACTCGAAATGTCCCCTGAGCTCCGACGCAGCGAGCAAAACTGCAACGTCGTAAAAAAGCACGCCCGGGCCGCCCGAGACCCCAACGCCCTGCGTCCAGATCGATCCGTGAGGGTCCTGGAGCCGAAAAAAAAGGGAAACGCCCCGCTCGAACAACAAAAAATGCCAAGATCTCAAAATCATATGTTAATTTGGACGCCCAGAACGGGTACGGGAAAAAATGGTACAATGCTCAACCACATTTGCTGTCCCAAACCATCAGCGGCCGCTGTTGGGTAGGCGGCCTTGTGTCTCAAATGTATAACGTCCGCGGCGGCGCGGACAGCGAGTCCTGTTCAAAATGAACAGGAACCACTGTTGGGTATCGTACCCATCCTGTCCGTACCAATGTCGACCGTCCCGAACAAGTATTCCCCTGAGATCCGACACAGCGGAAAAACTGCAACATGGTAAAAGAAATCACGCTCAGAGAGCTAAGCCCCATCGTCCTGAGCCATTTCTCGAGCCGGAACGATCTGTGAGGGTCCTGGGGCCCGAACAAGGGCGAACACGCCCGGTTGGAAAAAAATGAAACGCAACAATCCAAGGTTTTATGTTTGTTTGGACGCCCAGACAGGGTACGGAAAAAATGATTACAGTGCCCAACAATTGCTGTCCCAAACCGACAGGGCCGCTGTTGGGTAGGCGGCCTTGTGTCTCAAATGTGCAACGTCCGCGGCGGCGCGGACAGCGAGCCCGGTTCAAAATGAACTGGAACTGCTGCTGGGGATCGTACCCATTTCGTTCGTGCCGAGTTTGGCCGGGCTCCTCGCGCACCCCTGGAGACTCCGGAGCTTCCAAATCTGCCTTCCGTGGCCTCGAAGACTTTCCAAGACGGTCCCGAGACGCGGACCGACTGGCCCAAGACACCTACGATGGCTCCAAGACTAGAGGCCTCCTTGATGGGGTCGGCGATGCATTGGCGATGTATCGGCGATGCATCGGCGATGTTCCGGCGATGCATCGTCGACGTCGTCGGTGCCTCGGTGACGCAGGCGCGGATAAAATCGGGCTCCGCATCGAGCCGCATCGGCGATGCATCGGCGATGCGGCGCGATCGATGCTCCGACCCCATTTACTTCGACTCCATCTAAGAAGCCTAGAAAAGACGCCCAAAGACGCCCTCGAGACGCCCCAAGATGGCCAGTCCGTACCCATCTCGTTCGTGCCGCTCCCGAGGACGAGGAGCAAGGAGGAGGACGAGGACGAGGACGATGAGGCGGAGGAGGAGGCGGAGGCGGAGAAGAAGGAGGAGGAGAAGCAGGAACGAGGAGCAGGAGGAGGAGGAGGAGCGAGGAGGAGGAGGAGGAGGAGGAGGAGGAGCGAGGAGCGAGGAGGAGGAGGATGAGGAAGAGGCGCAGGAAGAAAAAGAGGATAAGGAGCGAGGAGGAGGAGGAGCGAGGAGGAGGAGGCGGAGGAAGAGGAGGAGGAGGAAGAGGAGGAGGTGGAACATGACGATGATGATGCTGATGCTGGTGATGATGATGACGATGATGATGCTGATGATGAGGGTGATGATGATGAGGATGATGAGGATGAGGAGAAGGAGCAGGAGAAGGAGGAGCGAGGAGGAGCGAGGAGGAGGAGGATGAGCAGGAGGAGGAGGAGGAGCAGGAGGAGGAGGAGGCGCGAGGAGGAGGAACGAGGAGGAGGCGGAGGAGATAATATAAGATACGATAAGATAAGACCCTGGGGCGCCGATCCCTCCCTGCACATCTATGCAAGCTCTCGCTCACAATCACACATACAGCAAATAAAGAAGCGCCTGGGTTCGCCATGTTGGCGTACTGGAACAAGTAGCCACCAGGCGGCCCCACGACCACTTAAGGAGTGTGGACTGGCCCGATGGCGGACCCGACGGCACGCAGCCTGCGGCTGCCATGCCATCATAGGCGCTAACCTCGGGCACCTCTGCCTGAAGTCGCGCCTCGCTCAGATCCTGAACCCCTGCTCCGACGGTTTCGAGATCGGGGGGGGGGAAATTGAATTGCTGGTCCTACTTCTGGGGCTGTAGGGAAATAGACAGGAGCGGGATTCAAAGTGAGGGCCGGAGGCGGGGGGAGAGAGGAAGAACAGATAATGCTATGAGCCCTACTTTCAGTCAAACCTGAAGCTCTCCTGCTAGCCTCCTCATTCAAATCGCCCGCCCTCAAAAGTTGCTGAGCTCTCTCGCTGGTGGCCCAATTGAACCCTCGCGCGCCTCCTACTTGCAAAGGTCTAGAAGACGCTGCGCCTCCCTCACCAGGACCCCTCCGGGCGCCGCCCCCGCGGTTTTCTCGCCTCCCTCCACCTTGAGACAGTGGCGGATCGCCGAGAGCAGCTGGCTGCCGCGCTCGCTGGTGTCCAGCAGGAACTGGACCTTGGCCATTTCCTTGTCGTCCTTGCCCTTTTGTCTTGAGGCGCTTGGCCGTGCAAAACCGAGCCACCTCGCTGAGCCCGATGGGACCCTCTGCTGGCATCGCCACTGACTCCCAATATTGCGCCGCCGCCACCTGCTCCTTGGGCAAAGACCCCATCTCCTCCTCGTGGGCGGCCCCCTTGACCAACGCTGCGAACGCCCTCAAGTGAGGGGCGTGCATCTTCACCTTCGCAAACTCCTTGCCCTCCTTCTCCGCTGCCTTTTGCAACTCGCACTGCTGTTGAGCCTCCGCGTTGAAGCTCTGGCCCTCCTCGAGCATGAATTGTACTGTGCGACTGTCGAGCGGCAGCAGCCACGCGTCGTGCACCGCGCCGATGAGCGCTCTCAGCTCCGCCTCGTCGTTTAGCACCAACTTTGCCAAACCAATGACGAGCTCGTCCAAACTTTGCTTCTTGCCGCCACGCTGCACCACCTGGCGAGCTTCTTGCGCGCCGCCTCCAGGAGGGCCGCGATGCGGCGCGCCTTGCCGTCCTTCTCCTCCGTGCTGCGTGCCATCCACTTGGGCGCCGCGGCGGTGTTCGGCATGGCGAGCCAAGCCGGGTAGATCAGACTGAGGCGCGGCACGACCTCGCGACTGCTGAACTCTGGAACATGCACAGTCTACGGTATCAAGAGTTCGAGGGAGATGACTACGGATCTGTTGCTGAAAATCATATGTGTCCGATCCGTGGCACTCGCAGAGGGGCAATCCAAATCTATGATAGGTAACCGAGCAGCCTGCGACCTACCACCCCCAGCCAGACAGTATCCCCTGTTCATGGAGCCCACGAGGTGCCTGCTAGCCGTGATAGCCCCCGAGAAGATCCCAAGACAGTTCGGGCACTAGTTAGTGCGACATGAGACGTGTCCCAAAGACCGATAATGATGATGAAGTCGGAAGTGGTTCAGGGCAGACTTCTTGCCGGGGAACTTCGCATCGCATCGACCTCGTCGACCTACTGTGTCGCCGGGATCACATCTGTGTTTATGTACACTACGCACCCATTTAACAGCCCCGCTCTGGACGACCTCGGTAGATCGCATAGTACTAAGTTGCTGATCATACACAGGAGGAGGAATCGCGACCGTGTGACGACGACGTCGCAAGAGAGA